AAAAAAAAATCAGGCATGGAGATGCAGAAGAGTATGCAAAAGAGCCACTGGGAATATTTAAATAATATTTTAAATATAATTTTAATGTTAGAAACAAATCTCTGTAAAGAGACAACTGAGATTATTTTATTTATATAAAAATACAAAAGAGAGGGTTGCCTGGGTGGCTCAGTCGGTTAAGCGTCTGCCTTTGGCTCAGGTCGTGATCCTGGGTCCTGGGATCAGAGAGGGGAGCTTGCTTCTCCCCCTGCTTCTGCCTCTGCCTCTCTCTCTCTCTCTTTCTCTCTACCTCTCACTCTCTCTCAATCTGTCTCTCATGAATAAATAAAATCTTTTAAAAAATGCGAAGAGAAAACCAAATATATTATCATAGCCAATGAGTGCTATGGACTAAACTGTGTCCTCCCCAAATTCATATGTTGAAGCCCTAACTTGCCGCCAATGTGATTCTATTTGGAGATGAGGTTTTTAGGAGGAAATTAAGGTTAAATGAGGTCAGAAGAGTGGGATCCTAATCCAACAAGATTAGAGGCCTTATAAAAAGAGAAAGAGAGATCTCTCCATATGCACGCTCTCAGAAAAGGCTATGTGAGCACAGGGCAAGAAGGTGGCCGCTTTAAGCCGGGAAGAGAGTCCTCACCAGGAATTACATTGGCTGACACCTTGATCTGTACTTCCAAGCTTCCGGAACTGTGAGCAATAAATGTCTATGATTAAGCCCCCCACTCTCTGGTACTTTGTTATGGCAGCCAGAGCTGACTAAAACAGGGAACAACATCAGAGTAGTACTGACTTTACAGCTGGTTCCAGGTGCCTGTTTATGCACCAGGGTCTTCCAGAAGAAACATAACACAAGAACAGACAGTGCTGGTACTCGAAGACTCCCTAGACATTTCAGGGAGGAAGGGGGATAAAAAAAAAAAAAAAAAAGACAGTGGAGAGTGATTTACTAAGAGTGACTCATCAATTCACCAACTGAAGTTAAGAACGCTGAGCGAGGCCAGGGCCGATAAGAATGAGGCTGAGGTCAGATACGGATGAAGTGAGTGATGGGGGTGGTCAGAGGAATTTTCTTTATATGTGATGCTGGTAGACAGGGAAGCAGAATGATCCCTGCCAACATTGTTCATGAACCAAAATATTTTCAGAATCCCAGTTCAGTCCCGAGACCCTAACTCTTCCCTCGTTATAGAAAATATTTCCAACAGACTATGACAACCTGGCTTCCCAAAACATAAAAGAAGAAGAAGACATGAGCCTGGAGCAAAAGATCTTCACTCCAAAAAAGTTTAAACATTAAGATTATGAAAGAAGTTATCTACAAAAGACAGCATATATGCAAACAAAGGACCCTCATGAGACAATTGGTGCATACAAATGATTAAACAATTAGGGCACAGCTAATCAGAGCCAGAAACTCATTGCAATAAACACTAATGTCCTATTCAAGGATTTGACTTCACCCCCTGTGCTTTGGGAAGGGGTAAATGGGAAAGATAAAGTTGAAAGGTTAATTCTCTGTAATTCATAAACTCCATCTCTTTGACAGAAAAATATTTTTAAAAAAAGGCCATTCCTTTATCCTCTGAAGGGAAAGGCACCGCAGTATTTGAGAGTGTCGCATAACACTCTCAACCAGTAACCCATTTACAGAGGAGATGTGGCTGAGAAAAACAGAAGAGTTCAGATTTGAGCTTCCAAGATGTTACAAACAGTGACAGGAATAAAAATTAAATTATAATAGAAAAAAAACTTCTGATGCTTTGTGTCTGAAAAATAAACACAAACACTATTTATTAAGTCTGAACAACTTATGAAGGCAACATTTTTAGCCCTGGGCATTAATTACGGTTGCGCCACTAATGGGGTCTAGAGGAAGCCAATTCAACCCACTTCATCCCCAGGGAGAGAGCATCCACAAGTTCACAGAGTCATGCATTATCTCCATTTTATTGTCCAACAGAGTGAAGAATGAACTGAAACCTTGTGCTACATTAAATAAGCTGGACAAGCCTGAAATGTGGGTCTATTTCTTCACCCACCCTCTAAAAAGTATTATCCACTCTGAGAAATGTCCCTCTTACATTCTTCAAGATGAGTTCAGCACTCAGCCGCTAGGAGATATTTTTTTCTCCATGATTAATTTTTTAAGGAGAGACACTGTAGACTGGTTCCTAACCATTCCCTGTGATTAGTGAGTTTTCTGCAGAATCTCATGAACTTACGGTGCTTTTAGCAAGACTTCATTAGTATGTAATTGTGTCTGCTGCTACAATCTATTCATTGTTATCTACAATGAGTTATATCAACAAGTGCCCTCTTCTCTGGGAGGTCACTGGATTGATCTGTTCAGCCTCTGGTGGACCTGAGGAGTCCTGAGGAGGGCTAAGGACACCAACCAAACCAGCAACAACACCTGGACTCGTTTGCTAGGGCTACTCTAACAAAGTAACACAAACTGGGTGTCTTAAACAACAGATGCTTATTGCAAAGAAATGTATCTTTTCACGGGGAAGTTGGAGATCCAGGTGTTGGCAGGGTGGGTTCCTTCTGAGCCTTGTGAGGGAGGGATCTGGTCCAGTCCTCTGCCCTTGTGTCTCTTCATATCATCTTCCCTCTATGTGTGTCTCATTCTCTACACACAGCACTTTTTTTTATAAGGACACCAGTGTTATTGGATTAGGAGCCCACCTTCAGACTGCACCTTAATTAATTACATCTGCAATGACCCTATTCCCAAATAAGGTCACAATCTAAGGTACTCGGGGTTAGGTCTTCAATATTGAAATTTTGGGGGACACAATTCAACCCATAACAACATCCATGGGACAACACACGTGCCAGCAAATGACCTTTATTTTCTTAAGCTTTTCCTTGGAGCAAGCACTTTGTAAATCCATCATTTTATTAGCTGCCATAACAAAATACCATAGATGGGCGACTTAAACAACAAACATTGATTTTCTCACAGTTCTGGAGGCTGGCAAGGCCAAGATCCAGGTCAAGCAGGATTCTGGTGAGAACTCTCTTCCTGGCTTGTAGGAGGCCCCTCTCCCACTGTGTACTCACATGATCTTTTTGTGCAAATGTGGACAGGACTCTGGGTCTCTTCCTCTTCTTATAAGGATGAAAGCCCCACACTTCGGACCTCATTTAACCCTGGTCACCTCCTCATAGGCCCTATTTCCTAATACAGTCACATTACAGGTTAGGGCTACAACATATGAATGAATGGCTGGGGGGCGGGGGGGGGCGGGGGAGAGGGAAGACACCCAAGGCACTCCATAGCAATCCCCAATGGAAAATACTATTCTCCTCATTTTACACATGAGAAAACTGAAACACAGGAAACTTAACCCCAGGTCCCACAGCCAGAACTACAATGAGATGCAAACTGGTTTGACTCCCAAAAACCATTTATCTGTCCACCATTACTGGGTGTCCCAAACTAGGACCTAATATGAGCAAAGGGAAATTTGGAAAGGCTTTGCTGGTGTCTATAACCAGCAGAGGGGTATGACCCACCCTGGTAAGGACCACGGTTCCTTTCCCCACGGCCAACTGCACCATTCTGCTCCAGATCCCAGAGACGCGCATGGTGGAGCTAGAAGGCAGGGAGGCAGTACAATGGAGCGGTACACATGGGGAAGAGCTGGCTCTGAATCTCATCTCGGCTACTTACTAGGACTTAAAGCAAAGTGTCTGATCTCTCTGTGCCTCAGTGTCCTTCACGTAAAGAGTTTCAGACCACGGCCTGGCACATGGTAAATTTATAAATGCTTTATAAATGTTCCTTGTTATCATTATGGCCACATAAACCTTAAGAATAGAGAATTTTTTTAAAGATTTTATTTAATTATTTGAGAGAGAGGGAGAGCATGAGAGAGAGAGCATGAGGGGGGAAGGCAGAGGGAGAGGGAGAAGCAGGCTTCCCACTGAGCAGGGAGCCTGATGCCTGGTTGATCCCAGGACCCTGGGACCGTGACCTGAGCCCAAGGCAGATGCTTAACTGACTGAGCCACCCAGGTGCCCCAAGAATAGAGAATTTTTAAAGGCTCCCACATCCTAACCAACCCCGGCATTCTGTAAGTTAAGGACTACGCGCTCTGACTTGTATTCAGAGGTTCCAGAAACGATTTTCTGACATCCGCTTAATACAAACTCTTCTAAGGTGTCTTCTGCCCTGGAGATGGAGACCCAACTATAAAAAAGTTGCTCTGGGATCCAGCAGTGATCCTGTCTTATCTAGGAAAAGGCATGAATCACAGGGTGATGAGGCTAAATCCACACCAGACCACCTCCTGCCTCTCCTTCACATTTCTTTCTTCTTCCTCAAGGTCTGATAGTTTATTACACCAAGGCTCAAGAATGAGTTACTCAACCAGTCTTGCAGTATATACGTGCCTTAGATCTATTTTATCCTTTTCAGTCCAGTGTGTCAAATGATCTGCTCCAGGAAAATGCCCCCCTTTCGGTAGGACGGGAGAGGTCAAGAGGAAGACGATGAAGTCAACACTTTAAAACACTGAAGTCTTGTATGCTCCAGGAAAATGTCCTGGAGGTGGGAAGGGGGCAGGGACAGAATGCTGCTGAGGTCAAAAGGAAAGATGATTCGAGCCCTGTATCCCAGCATCCCCAAGGACAAACGTGGGCAATACGACTGTACTCAAACCCCACGTACACCTCCCAAACCAAACTCTTGACTCTTAAAGGGTAAAGAGGGGAGGCGTCCCAAGGAGGCGTCACTTGACCATTTCTTCCTCTGTTAGGGACCCTCTTGCCTCCGTGGATTCCGTGGGGGAGAAAAAAAGTCTCCCACTTACTGCTCTGCGGCTCCCTCTTCTTTCTCCTGTGCAAGGATTTTGTAAAGACACCCCTGCCACCCAGTTGCAAAGAGTAGCAACTTCCCCTCCGGCTGACTGAGCGCTCATTTGAATGCGTTTCCTTTTCATTAAGAACAAAGGTTGGAGTCCGAGCCTGGCAGCGCGGGGGCAGGAAAGTACGCGGCGGGTGTCGAGCGAAAAAAGCACACAGAGAGAATGACCCACGAGAAAGGGAAAGGGGAAAACACCAATCCTCGGGGCGCTGGGCTTTTTCGACTTTTCCTTTAAAAAGAAAAAAGTTTTCAAGCTGTAGGTTCCAAGAACAGGCAGGAGGGGGCCGAGGCGGGGGGTTTTGCAGAACAGGCGGCCGGTCGGTTATGAGTCACAAGTGGGTTATAAAAGGGTCGCACGTTCGCTGGCGCGGGCTTCCTGTGCGCGGCCGGCCACGTCGGGCCGCCTGCAGCCTCGGGACCGGAGCAGACGCGAGCGCGGGGACAGCGGAGGCCGCCCGGGCCACCAGGTACGCCGACCCTGCCCCCGCCCTTCCGCACGGAGCCCGGCCGCCGGCGGCCCGCGGGTCCCACGGCCTCAGGGGCGGGGGCGGCGCGCACGTGGCCGCTGGGGGCCCGTCCGGGGGCTCAGTCCGCTGGCCGGGGCCGCGGAGGAGAGGCCCTCGGGGTGGGAGCCCGGGGAGCGCGGGCGCGAGGGCGCGGGGGCGCGGGGACCGTAGGCTGGGAGGACCCGCACGCGGCGTCTGCGCCAAGTTCCCCTCGCGCGCGGAGGAGCTCCCGGGACCTGGCCCTGGACGAGCTCAGCTAGTGGGGTGGCCGAGTGTGTGCGAAACACACTTGTGGGACGAGGGTAGAGCCAAAGGGACTGCCTTCAAAACACGTATCCTTTTCCTTTTCTTTTGAAAAGCAGCTACTAATAGACCTTAGTTTTCCAAAAGTGAGAATCCTAACTTACCAGATACCAAGGTCGTTTAATGGACGTGAGGCCAGAGCAGAACCTTCAATGAACTTTGGGATTTATTTGCCCCCTTAGTGCCAGGGTGCAGTTTCTTGGCAGAGCACATTGGCTAGCTTTCTTTATCCTCCCAAAACCCCTGTGGGCATCTATCCACATTTTACAGTTCCCAAGGGTGGGCCAGGTCTTTTGATTTTTATATCATCATAAGCAGGCATATTAGGGTGAATATGAATCAAATTGAAGCTAGAATTACTGAAGCTGACGGCTGACAAAGATATAAATGAGAATCCTGTCCTTAAAAAGGAGGGAACTTGAGGCCCAGAGAGGTGAAGTTACTTCTCCAATACCACACAGCAGATCTAGGATTCCCCTATGATTTGAAGAGGCCAACAGTATCTAATGATGGTCATAATTTAATTTATATTTTGTGTCAAATAGATGAGGTTAAGTGGAGATAGACTTTTTACATAATGTTATGTAGATATTTCAAAGCCCAAGTCACTCATTATGTCCATTTATCCCCCTAAAGAAGTAGTGCCTCTTTTATATGGCTTTAACATAATGTATAATCTAAATGAACTAGGGCAGCCAAACTTTTAATAACCCTAGAACTGATCTTTTCAATGGGTATGTATATTTAATTGCTTATCTGTGTGAACAGGAATATACGCTAAAAAAATTGACAAGGCAGTTTCCTGAGCATTGTCTGATTTGATGGTCATGATGATAGGAAATTGGCAGGGTAGGTGGTGTTATGCCCATTTTGCCCATGAGGACTTGTGGCTCACAGAATTTGTGTTTTCTCTGGTAAGGTCATTAGGTTCTTAGTGTAAAGCCTGCCTTCAGGCGCAGATGTGAGATGTGGGATGTTGGGAGGTGGGGGAAGACTCGGGACATTAAACTGTCAGTTCAGGCTCATTTCCATCAGACTTTGCTGCCTCCGTGATTTCGTCAGAGGACCCAAGTGCGTTCAGTAATTACTTCTGCTGCATGGGCTACTCCGTAATGGCCTATTATAACTGGGTTCCCCCACACGGCCGGTCAGCTCACCTTGACCACAGGACAGAGCTTCCTAACCACACAAATCAAGAAAGAGAAACATGAGCGCTGGCCGAGACCCGTTTCAAGGCAGAACCGTGGCATTCTACTCTGTTTTTTACCTGACTAATGATATGTAAAAAGTATAACTTAGTGGCCTTTAAAAAATCAGAATCCTAAGTGCCACATTCCCTTCACGGGAAGGCCATCATAACGTTCTGTCTGTGCCAGAGTTGGGGCTGGACGCTGGAGAGGAGTCAGCAGGGACCAAACAAGGACAGCCCTGCCCTCACGAATCTTAAAATTCGGAGGAAAGGGCTAACAGTACATCGCTCTACAAATTGGCATGTCAACTGCAGTGACATAAATACTTAAACTAGTTAGGATGTGCTGTGAATTTTGTCATTCTTTACTTTCCAGTGGCCAACACGGAAAATTAATAACCTTCATCTTTCTTCGTAGCTCATCAAATTAGTCTTCTGTGAATCAAAAAATCCACTCCCAAAAAGCCCCCTAGGTTTCAACTTTTGAAAAGTTTTTTTTTTTTTTTATCAGCTATTTTATGTCATGACTAAGATCTGCCATTCAATATCAAGGAGGTTTTTAGAGTATTAGTTCTTAAGTCCCTTTTTTCCTACCTTAAATCTAATGGAAGCTGTGTATGCTTTGCTCAGAAATTTTTTTTTTAAAGATTTTATTTATTCATTTGAGAGACAATGAGATAGAGAAGAGAGCATGAGAGGGGGGAAGGTCAGAGGGAGAAGCAGACTCCCTGCCGAGCAGGGAGCCCGATGCGGGACTCGATCCCGGGACTCCAGGATCATGACCTGTTTGCTCAGAAATTTTAAGAAGAAAAAATACACCCATCCTCACACACAATTTTGCATTCATGTTAGTGGGCTCCAGGCTTCCTTGAATCTCAGCCATGACCTCTCTTGGGGTAGACTTTCATAATCCCTATTCTAAGCCTAGTAGAAGTAAATAGTTTGAATGATGGGGAGTGGTGTGTGGAGACTCTACCTCGCACCTAGACAGAACACCTCTGTCCTTGACTAGTTGGCGTCTCTACATTTTTATGAGTCACCGGCTGTGAATCATAGCTGAAGCTATTGATTTTAATAGCTTTACTACTTTGGTGGTAGGCCTGCAACCCACAGCGCAAAAGCCTGGTATTATGGGAAGGGCATCAGCCTGAGAACGATGGTAGGATTCTCGTCCCACCTCTGTGCAAATTTCTGTGCCTCATTCTTCTCATCTCTAAAATGGGTGGCGGGGCCTGAGTCATTTCTAAAGTCCCTTAAACTGATGAAGAAATTCTATGATTCCAGCATGACTACCACCTCACTTCACTTTCATAGATCTTCTAAGGCACAGCTGGACTCAGTGAATTCATATCCTCTCTGTCCAAAGAGAGTCAGAGTAAGTAAGTACCAGGATCATTGACTGGAGAATGTATGGCTGTCTTTCACTGATCTTACTGACTTCAAAGCTATCACAAATTGGCTGAAATTGGACAGAGTATGAAAATTGTGAAACCCTTTTTTGAGGAGAAATGTTAAAATTTTAAAAGCCTCTCTTTATCCCACCTTTGCGCTGACTCCATCTTCCTTAAATGTATTACCTTTATCTCAGTCTCTTAAGGAAAACAACACTTTTAATTTGATGACTGCTGTGTAATTCTCACCCACCATGAAACACCGAAGCCCTGTCCATCAGTCTTGTTTTGGGGTTTGCAATAGTCAGGGCCAAAAGCACACTTATCCTCAAAGTAACACGTCGCACGTCTGAGCAGTTCAGCATCCTCACTCACACGACTCTCAGCAATATGGAAGAACCATGAACCAAAGAGCATAGTTCCCACCCCTACACACAATGACATACTAGCCAGAAAAAGAGACTTCACATCAGTCAAGTGGTATGGTTTAAGGCAGACTGTGCCAATTTGGTACCATTTCAGTACCCAGTTCTGAAAAACAACATCCACATGTGGGCAGATGGGAGTTAAGGCAAAGGCAGAAAGATCAGTGAAGAATATCAAACAGCTGATTTAATGAAATTGTGGGGCTGGTGTTTGGGTAAGGCAAAATGACATACGATGATGACATTTGTGTAATTCTCCATAATGAGAATGTTCTATACCCAGTGGAAGTCCCTGGCTGTCCTGACCAGATGCAGTGTTCCTTTATGTTGCGCACCACCATCGGGCCAGCAGAGTGATTCAGAGCGTGGACGCTGGAGCCAGACTGCTCGAGTTTGTCTTCTAGCAGGGCCCCCGCCTACCCACTCTCCAACCTGGGGCAAACGACTGCCCCTGCCTGAGCCTCAGGGCCACCAGGGATCAGTGGGGAAGATGATAAAACTCATTCCCAAGGCCATTCTGAGGAATAAGAAGTCAAACTCCTGTCTGGCCCAGAGACCCATATAAGTGTTTGCAATTAGTTTGTATGCATGGGTGATCTTGCATATTTCAAGAAACCAATTTGGAAAGTGAGATACAAAGATGATTTGAGAAAGTAAAGGGTATAGGTACAAAATGGTCTCTAGAAGTTCTGGACAAGGTAAACACTTGTTTGGTCGTAATGAGTTTTTAAGAGTTTCATAACACATGTTTTTTTTCCTCCTTAACCCAAAGAAAAACTAATAAGACACTTCAGAAAATTCCTAAGGAAACATTTTGATGTACCTTTATGATTCGGAGATTAGGACACCAAAGAATTATTTTCACTTGACTTGTGTTTGTTGATAACCTCTAATTTACGGAATGGTTCAGTCACACAGTTGTAAATGTATCTTGGACTTTTCAAATGACAGGTGCAACAGGTGGTAGCTGGACAGGTACCTTCAGGTCCTCCGCAGGGATTCATGACTGATGCCGCGAGTACCGCGGCTAACATCCACTGAGCCTTGATTATGAGCCTAGCACCCACCCTCAGTGTTTCACCTTCATCGTGTCATTTCATCTTCACAGCGACCTTCTGAGTAAGTTCTAGCACTGTCTTCAATTTTAAAGAAGCAACTAAGACTTAGAGAGTTTAGTTAAATTGCCAAATGTCACACAGCTAGGAACACTGCTGGGGTCAAGAATGGAACCCAGGCAGGTTGAAAACAACAGAGCAGGAACACTCCGAGACCTTCCACTTAGACTCACAGCATTTGTCACATCTGCCTTCTTTCTCTCTGTCCCTATCCATCTGTCTTCCTCTCTAGGTCGATGTCTGTATCACCTCTGACATCTAACCTCTAAATGCTTGGACACATAGCACCTAAGAATAAGAGCACACTCCTCCACGATGAAATGAAAACACATATTATGACATCCAAGGGTGGTTTTAAAAAACAACAACCTAATTTTTACCCATAACTTCAGATGACTATTTCTGGTAGTATTCTCCAGCTTTATCCTACAATGATCATACTTAGTGGAATGAGATCCAAGCCTGGAATCCCCTAAATGTAAGCAGTCCATTACTAATGTGGAATAGCACCAGACCTCATTGATGTATTTCCACATTTATAAGCTTCTATGACACTAATTCTCCAAAAATCTGCATATTAGTTCAATGCCCCTGACTGCTCCAGTGCCAGAGCCAAGCCAGTTGTGTAGACAGAAATGCCTTGGAAGTACCTCAAGGGTTTACTCACAGCATTTACCGAGTGTCAGTCGTGTAGGAGGCACTGAGGTGGGACCCAGTCTCTGCCTTCACATACACCTCAGCCCCAGGGAAGAGACCAGAGAAAATCACAGCATGGTGTCAAGGCAGCTGTGACCGAAGTCAGAGCCAGGACCTGGGGGAGGCAGAGCGAGGGGGTCACACCAAGAGCTGAAGAGAGCCCCGCCTCCAGGAGTTTACTGTCTGTGAGAGACAGAAATAAGGCAAGGTGAGCAAGTCCATATCTGAGGAGCAATTTCAGGAGGTAGACAGTGCCTGAGTGTACATAGAACATTACAGCACCAAACACGACCCTCATTTGGCATGTTTAAGACACGGAGTAGAACGCCGTGGAGATGTAAGTAATAAACGGTAGAGTGTTTGCCTTGTTAACAGGGTATTCCCATACATCGTAAGAAAACCTTTAAGCAGGCAAAACCAAACCTTTGTTCCCAGAACTTGCTCAGTTTGTCTGACATAGTTCCCAGTACACAAATTCGTCCTTGTTTGGGGCCATGATGGTGTGTAGAAATAAAGAAATGGAAACTGTGGCTTGTAGAAATAGAAAAGAGGACTTTTCCTAGGATGCCAGACATAAGGGCCCCAGCACATGTAATGGACAAACAGGTTAGCCATAGTGAGTTCAAAAGGAGGCATTGTGCTGAAATTCCATGTTGAGAATAAACACTGTGAACTCAAGTGGAGGAGGAGGAGGTGGTCTCTAGAAAAGGTAACTCTTCAAAGGATGACAGAGCACTCCAGAGTTGATAACTGCCATCATGTTTCCTTTTTCCCTCGGGGAGTTGGGGATGGGGGCGTGGGAAGGATATTGAAAATAAATTATAAACCAAAAAAAAGAAAATTATGATTACAATTCTCTTATGGAAATATAATATTAAAAAGTTTAAGTCGTTAGGCATGTGGAAAACCTGAGAACTTATGAAAGAAGAGTGAATGGCCATGATTTAGAGCAAAAGAGTGCATCTCCCCCCTGAGCTCTCTCCTTCCTGCTCTTGTTTTTATTCATGTTTGTTTGATAACATTTTCCCCAAGTTTGGGGCCGGCAGCTGAGCTGGTGTGAGGTTGGGGTGTTGAGGAAGGCCCCCCCACTCCGTGACACGCTGGTTCAGGATGGGGGGCTGGACTCAGGCTGGCTCTAGCCCTCCTTCTGGCTCTGGGGGCAAATACTTCTAACCTGTTTCTTCCCACATTCTTATCTGAAAAGTGAAGGTGTTAATCACTGTCTGCAATAAATCTATTGGGAAGGCCGCTTAGCTTGTACATAAGATCCACAAGTGGTTTCAGTAAAAACTTCCTGGTTTTAAAAGTGGGAAAAGCAGAATAAGCCTCTATGGTCCAGATTCTTTCTCATTTGTACATTCACAGTTAAGCAGCCGCTCAATATGATGTTTCCATAGTGATCCTGTGAATTCCACATTGGCTTTCTTCTGAGACAGTTCAGAAGTATGTCACACTTAGTTTTATGTGTTATTATCATTACTGGCATATATCTTTAAAAATATTCATTTTCTGTATTTCAAAATACGGAAGGGTATGTTGTATTAAAGCTGTCTCATGTGCAAACCAGTCTTTTCAACAGGAGCTCTTAATTTAGAAATAGTCGGTATTTTCATTAAAGAATTCCTAATTAGAACTATCAAAGGATGTTAGATTTTTGTGAAAGTAGATGACAGAGAGTTGATCATTTTTTCCCCAGCAATGGCCTATACAGGGAATTTTTCTTAAATATAAGAAAAAAGTTAATGATATAAAAAGTAATCTTACCATTCACCAAGAGGTCAGGATATGGGTGACTGACAGAACAATCCATTTTACTTTCAGAAGATGCATTTGTGTGCTTTTGAAGACATGATCCCAGTTACTTACCATCTCAATCAACCCCTTTTTACTGTTGGAACTCGGGTGAATTCAAGAGAAACATAATATTCTTTGCCCCATTTCCTGACAGCACAGAAGTTGACTTAACTTTAAAATCAGTTACTGACAGGGCACCTGGGTGGCTCAATCGTTAAGCGTCTGCCTTCAGCTTGGGTCATGATCCCAGAGTCCTGGGATAGAGCCCCAAGTTGGGCTCCCTCAGCAGGGAGCCTGCTTCTCCCTCTCCCTCTGCCCTTCCCCCTGCTGGTGCGCTCTCTCTCTCTCTCTCTCTCGCTCTATCTCAAATAAATCTTAAAAATGAGCTACTGAGATGTGACACAGAATAATCATATTCTACAGAAAACATGTGATAAAAAAATTCACACAAATAAACAGTTTAGAAAACCAGTCACTTGAATATTTCTTTTTGTCACAATACTAAAGGTCTTTATGAAGAATTACTGAGAGAATACACTTTTTAGGAGATTTTAGACCATGTAGGAAGTTCAGACACAGAGGACTGAACTAAAACTCAGGTGATACTATTTTAAATCATCTGACTGTTCTAGGCTGGACATGGAAAGGATGAGCTCTTGAAATATTTGGAGTATATTCTCATCTCTCCTCTAAATCATTCTTTATCCCCATTAAAACTTTCCCACCTTGAGTCCTCTCTCCTCACTCCTTTATCTCTGCTTCCAAAGATGGGTAGCTAACTAACCTACTAAGTCAAAGTCAAAGTGCCAGTGGGAGGGGCTTCAACTCAACCTTTTCCTCCCTCTCCAGATGACTTCTTTCCATTTCAACAACAGCTCACCTAAACCTTACCTGCCACCTTGCTTCTCCCACCGAAAGAAGATGATTCTAGTTGTGAGAAATTCAGACTAAGTGGAAGGTTAGGGAAGCACTAGCAGATGTAGAATTTTTAGAGGGGCAGGTCTTTGAGAAATCATATCTGCAGCCACCTTCATCTTTTGACCTTAGGTCAAAATAGTAATCAAGAAAATTGTCATTCCAAAAAAAAAAAAAAAAGAAAAGAAAATTGTCATTCCAAAGATTAACCATGACAGGTCCAGATTTTCTCAGGATCTTGATCTTCACATACCTGCCTTAATCTTCACTGCTTACTTTCATGACCTGAGCCAAAACAGCAACTTCAGAATATAGGGAATCAGAGTAACTTCCGTTGGGAACACCAGATAATGCTTCCTTAGGCAATCAGTCACTAGTCGCTTTGAGTGATTGGATCCAAATAGGGATCAACATTGAATTCCATTTTAATGATTATGGTTTTGACTGGTATATAAGAAAATTAAATAAATGTAGGGAATACTTAAAAGAAATTATCTGAATTTAACCATTTTAATTTTCAAAAGCATAATTACATTTCACGCATTAAAATGGCTTTGGATGAGAATTTGTACTGCTACATCAATACAGGATCGTGCCTTTCAGCAGAAATTCATGTACATTCACTTCGTAACAACAAATTAATAGTTTCCAAGTATTTGCACGTTTCAGGATGAAAAAACTCATGATGGCTTAGTTATGAGATTCAACCACTGTGACTTTTTTAAAAGAAAATGTTGGGCACCTGGGTGGCTCAGATGGTTAAGCGTCTGCCTTCGGCTCAGGTCATGATCCCAGGGTCCTGGGATCGAGTCCCACATCGGGCTCCCTGCTCCTTGGGAGCCGGCTTTTCTCTCTCTCTCTCTCTCTCTCTCTCATGAATAAATAAATTTTAAAAAAAAGAAAAGAAAAGAAAATGTTATGGCATGCAGTTCTTTTGGTATGCAAATATTAAGTAGTTGATGCTAGGAATAAGAAAAATGGGAAAATACAGAGACATATAAAATTGTGGAAGGATATAACTTATGATTCATTATGAAATGTGATCCTTAGTGACAAACTTAGGACATATTCTGTTCTGGATATATAGCTGATATCATCTTTCCTGGCAAATCAGTAAGGTAAGAATTAAAGGATTGGGGTACTTGGCTGGCTCAGTTGGTAGAGCATGCAACTCTTGATCTTGGCATTGTGACTTTGAGCCCCACGTTGGGTGCAGAGCTTACTTTAAGAAAAAAAAAAAAGTCATTCTTTAGAAAAGCTTAATTTGAGGAAAATTTTCCCAGAATGCTCCTTTCAGTTCTTACTACCAGAGGAAAAGTAGTCCTGCCATATGATGAAAGGTACCTGGTAGTCTTATTTATCTAGTATATATCTAGGGCTTCATCTTGGCAGATTTTTATCCAAGGTGAGAAGGGGTGGTTTTGATGCTTGATTACTTTGAAGTACTAACCTGGAACCTATCTTCAGCTACTGAAAAGAATTGTGCAATAGGTAAAGCTTATCTTGACAGTGGATGTGAGCCTAAAAGTATTGTGGAGTGAGGGCTTTGAAGCAGGTCTTCAGAACCACTCTCGTCAAGACTCCTGTTCTAATTTATATTGTGTGGTCCAGAGAAATTTCTCTTGTATTGCCAAACATTGCAAATTATGCTCGTCACGTTCTTATCAAATGCTTAGCAGCTATTGACTGTTGATTGCTGGGTCTAGAATTGTGTCCAATTCGTCCCTTGCCACCCTACCAGTGGGGTGGCTGTATTCATCCCTCACTGCTTCATGACAGCATCTTCTGCCCAGTGTCTTGGCTCTTAGCCCAGCCTTTGTTGTCTGTGATCACTAGTTTCTGCTCAGACGTATAGCAATTCTGTTGTTGGTTAACTTGGTTGACAAGCCTAGTTAAAAACACTGAAAGTGAGCTCAACTTCAACACTAATGGGCCTTCTGGCCAATCTAATGTCTACAAGTCTACTGAATGTACTTCTTAAAAAGCTATTCTAGGATATTTTCTCCTTCCTTCTGTTTATTGGGGTTTTTTTCCTCTCTCATTATGTTTTTAATGAGATTTAAGATTGTGTAGTAGAGTCAGACAAACTGCTCATTCTCTGCACTTTTAGGAATTCATCATGCCTGAGAAGTTTATCCAAATACATGGTACCACAGTTTCTCCTTGAGCACTGAGATCAAAAGAGGATCTGCATGATGCTTTTCATTTCAGCATACCTTCAGAGTTTGAGCTAATAAAACAAAAGCTGTTTAGAATGTTTAGTATATAGCACATTGTAAAAAACATTTGTCACTCTTCTGAGCACTCCAATCAGGCAATTTGTGAAAAAAGATGAAAGACAAAAAAATCCAATTACTATACTAAATGTATTTTTTTAATACTTGTATTCAGATGTCATCTTTAAAGAACAGGAGAAAAATGTATGGGTAGAATAGTAGGCAAATAATTTACTTTCAATATGAATTAGACATAGCTCTTTAAAAAAGGGTTGAATTATATTGGTTGGGGAGGAACCAGCATAAAGATATTAATATATATGGAGTATTTACTATATTTAAGGCACTGTGGCTAGGGGGAAAAAGTTATTTTTACAGTCTTTATTGAGTGAAAAATCTGTAAAAGGTATTAAAATCCTCAACTGACATCATTTAATTCAAAGCTCTTCATCTTTAAGTTAATTCATCTCAAAAACAGCAAAGGTAAGAAAAAAATTACTATCAGTAAGAATGATATATTTCCTTGGTTTGGAAATTTCCAAACCACGGTATTCTGCCCTGTCAAAATACGTTCATTGGGGAATTTTTAAGTTTATAACTTCTTTTGAACTTAATCACAGTTTTACATCTAGCTGGTTTCATGATTAAATAAAAGAGAAGGTGATTCCCCTCTTGTACTGAGGAGACCACATACTTGAATGGTACTCTTAACTTCTAGGTTCTGCTATATAGTAACACTGAAACCAGAAGCTTGTGGGAGAAATGTCATTTTATCTGAGAGACTAAAATCAGACTGTAACAGGAAGTAGCAAATTCATCTTTTTCTTTTTTCTTAATCCACTCCTTGCTGAAGACAAGAAGTTTGAGAAACATCACTTTTTAAGTCATACTTCCTTTATGTAGATCAAAACCAAAGCCACTGGGTGGTGCTTTCCCCACAGGAATCTCTAAAGAGCAGATGGGGCCATTTAATGGTGGATTCATTTATAGGAGAGACCCCCATTGTGTGTACCATACCTCTTGAAAAATAAATAAAGGTAAAGACTCAACTGTATACTACAGAATAAAAAATCTAGCCCAAATTTGACCTTTATAAACCAGGTGAATTCAGGTTTAATTTTCACAAATCATAAAACACTATTTTGAATTATTTTGGCCTTTTACTTAAATGATCTAGTTCCCAGGTAAAACGTAAATCAAAAAAGATAGTACTGTCAGAACTCAAGATCGCCTCTTTACATTTTAGCATGTGGCAACTTTGAAGACTTGTTTTGGTTTTGTTTTAAAAGAAGACGATACATATACATAAATAATTCAGAATTTAAAATATAAATTTAAAAATAGCCCTCAGAGGGCGCCTGGGTGGCTCAGTCGGTTAAGCGGCTGCCTTCAGCTCAGGTCATGATCCTGGAGTCCCGGGATCGAGTCCCGCATCGGGCTCCCTGCTCAGTGGGGGGTCTGCTTCTCCCTCTGACCCTCCCCTCTCTCATGCTCTCTGTCTCATTCTCTCTCTCAAATAAATAAACAAAATCTTTAAAAAAAAAATAAATAAAAATAAAAATAGCCCTCAGATACACTTAAAGGTAAAAATGTCTTTTAATCGCCAGTTTCTCTACCCTTTTCAACAAATCACTTCCTGGGATTTAATGAGCTCATGCTCTCCCTTAGGAGGAAAGTAAAGACTGTTTTTGCTTTCAGATTTATATTCCCTCACTCCAGCTTTATGATTACATGTGCACACACAACCATCTCTCTCTCTCTTGCAGGTGGCGCAGACCAGGAAGGGGAAATCTGTGGTTTAAATTCTTTATGCCTCATCCTCTGAATGCTGGAGGCTTGCTGTAGGCTGTATGCTGTTAATGCTAATCGTGATAGGGGTTTTTACCTCCGACTGACTCCTACATGTTAGCATTAACAGGGTATGATGCCTGTTACTAGCATTCACTGGAACAAATTGCTGACCTGGGAGGATGACAAAGAAGAATCAGTCACCCTGCTGGATAAACTTAAGACTTCAGGCTTTATTATTTTTGTTAATCATAATCTGGTCACCGAGATGTTCTGCCATCAGTTTTTAAGAGAGTAAGGTCATTCGAAAGATTTATCAGCAGCATTCTGAATGCAGACACTTTTACGCGAATCTTCAAGCCCACATCTTTGTTTGGATCTTTAGTGGAAAACGTATTTGCGTCGTTTTTGATTCAAAGTTATGGTGTGTTCATTGTTACTGTTCAGAAGCACTTTTCATAACTCAACTGAAAGAAATATGGACTAAACACATTCTGAAATAAATTCCTAGAATATCTTCATAGTTAAAAATTAGAAGGACCCTCCAGTTACATCAAGATGGTCCGGCAACAGTTTTAAACAGATTTACAAATTGGCATGTTTTTTCCTTCGTTTTACAGTTTTCTATTCAGACAACTTTAGTTTGAAGTTAGCACTTTTATCTGAATCTTAAGGGGTAATTATAAGGCTATAACAATGAGTGTTTTTTAGAAATGAAATATTTTTACCAATTAGCATGGTAAATGATGTCTGAGAGATAACCCCTCCCTTTTCCCTACAAGATACAAAGGCTTAATAAAAAAATTTCATATTTGAAATTAAGTCCCAAATCTAGGCTCAAGTTTAATAGCTTGGCCACATAATCATGTCATGGGGGTCAAAGAATCCACTTTTCCTCTCAAAGCCCCACAAGATGGGGCTAATACTTTACAAGGTCAGTGTGAGGTTTATGTGAAATAGAACTATTTTGTAAAATAGAAAGTTACATTAATGTTATAGTAAAATTCATCCAAGAACTAGCACCCCCCCCCCACTTTGTTAGAGAAAAGCTAATGATTTGATTTACAGAATTGTTCAGGTTTGGATTTCTCTGCAGTTTTTTTTTCCATAATTGACTATATCATTTACAAATAAATAGTTAATTGTAACTGTTGGCATATTTAGTGTATACTTGTATTAGCAACTCTTCTCAACATTTTGTCAGTTACGCACTGTAACCAAATAAACCTCTTTTAGTCACTTAGTTGATTTAAAATAATTTGTTATGGCCTTTTTTCTTTTGCAAAGTACAAACTGTAATTTCAGAAGTCATTTATGCAAAAAACAAGCCAAAAAAAGACAATGGGAAGAAACTATGAGAATACCAGGGGGAACGTCCTGACCCTCAGGACATGGTATCCTCATCTCAGGGCATCCCCTCGGCCTGGCCCACATTTGTGTTCAAGTCGTGTGTGCTGCCAAGATAAATTTCTCCTCTTAACCCTTGAAATGAACATTTGGCTCCGAGGAGCCCCAAAGTAGGCACATCACATTGAAGGGAGTTTCTTCAGACTATGCATTTTATCTGCACTGCTCATCTCAAAGAGGAGTCCTTGTTTTGAGTCCCAATTCTCCAAAACCCTGCTTGCTGCCTACAGTCAGAATGTTAGGCCTGGAGTAGACTGATCTAGTACTACCTTCCTGCTGTTATAAGGAAAAGCTATGAACATCAAAAAGCTTAAGAAAAACTCTGCCATGAGGGGCACCTGGGTGGCTCAGTCAGTGAAGCATCCCACTCTTGGTTTTGGCTCCGGTCATGATCTCAGGGTCCTGGTATCCAGTCCCACGTCAGGCTTGTGCTCAGCGCAGAGTCCGCTGGAGACTGTCTCTCTCTCTCTCCCACTGCCCCTCCCCCTGCTCGCGCTCTCTAAGTAAATAAAATCTTAAAAAAAGAAAAGAAAAACCGTGCTGTGAAATGCTTTATTTGAAGAGCGCTAGAGTACATGAAACTTGGGTGAGTTCCTTAATCTCTGTAAGCCTCAATTTTCTCACCAGTGAAATGATGAATCTATTTCAGAAGGACGGTTAGCTCGAGTGAAATAGTGCGTGTAAAGAGCACTATTATGCATTACATGTTAAAGGAACACTGGCTTTAACACTTCTAGATTTCAGTTATTAAATCAAATGGGCTCCCGTAGCACATCTTCCCGAGGGCGCATTAGCTCCAACCTAGCCATAATCCCATGGTGACAACCCAGAAAAGTGAGATCTTCCAGGGGCGCTGGGTTTTCTCTGATGCCCAGCTCTCATAGGCTGCTAGCTCCTGATCTCTCCATCTTAGATGGAGCCTTCCGGACTGATAGGCTCAGCCGTGCCAAAAATTCTAGGCGTAAGATTGGGTGTGTGTTTAGGTTGGAGAAAGCAGTAAAGTAGCAAGGAAGTGCATGTGTGTTTTGAAGTGAAAAACTCAGGGTGGCTGAAGTGAAAGTGGGTGATGTGGCAGATGGAGAAGGTAAAAGGAACCCGATTTTGTACACAGAAGGCTGAACTGAGTGAAGCATGACATCATGCAGGACATGGTTTCTTTAAAAAAAAAAAAAAAACAGAAAACACAACACTTGAATATTAAGAGGGTTGCCTAGGATCTGACCCACTTCCCTAGAAACTTGCTGAATTAGAGACTTCACTCTCAGCAGTAAGACTCAGTAGCTAAAAAAAAAAAAAAAAAAAACAGAATGGGGGGAGAAGAAATGAAGTCAGGGGATTGAAGAATATAGAGAAAACTAATACAATATAATATAAACTATAAAATATAAAATAATATAAACTAATACTCTAATATAGAGTATTAGAATTTTTCCAAAAATAAAGAGATGACCAGTACTTTGATTAAAGGAAGTGGGGAAAACTTCTGAAGAAGTAAAAGAGCTTGAAGAAAATTAATAAGAAGTCTGTAAATGGGAAGCACTCAGAAGAAGTTGACTCATTAGGTGGTTTTCAGGTAATATTGACTAGGAAACAGTGAAATCAACAGTAAAACTTGCACATAAGTGTTCAGCTTTCCACTTTGGACTTCAAATTCTTTCCTGGCAGTAAGGATAAGGAAATAATGTACATATAGAGGGTTTGGGTTTTTCTGCTACTATTATAACAGATCTAAGTGTTCACCTGCTTAACACATATATTCCTAACTGCTCGAGTAATGGATTTGTTTTAGATAGATTTCTCAAATACCACTCTTCAGCGCTTCTTCGCAGGACTCAGGGATTTCCCAGGTCCCTGGCTCTAAAACATTGCATCGTAATTTGCTGTGGTGTGTAAACGACTGCACTAGAAAAGGTATATCCTTGAGGGCCAAGCCACCTCTTGCAGATTTCCATCTTACGCAAATGTTTACTGACTTAATCATACCATTATTATTCCAAGTTCAATTGTCAAAACAACTTAAGTTTAAATATAGTGAACATTTCACTCTATACCCATAGGCTCAAAGAGGTGATTTTTAGTAAATAAAAGGTCATTACAGCAAACAAATGACTGAAAAATTCTACATATAACTGAAGAGCTAGGGCAGTGATTCTTACTTTGGAAATGGGTCAAGGTGCAGGCTCCCAGGCTCCCACCGCAGAGCTTCTGATTCTGTGATGGAGCTCAGGAAATTGCCTTTTTACCAGGCTAATTGAGTGATCCAGATGCAAACAGTTCATAAACCAACTCTGAGAAACAATGGCTTATACCCTACGCTACTGCTGATACGGCAACTAGGAATGGCGTCCAGCAGAAATCCTGCAACATACAGATGCAATTCTGTGTGCTGTTCACACACAGTTTATTCTGTGCAATGAGAGGCTCTGCCACGTGGGTGGAGTGATGAGTTGCCCGATCCTTGATCTCTTTGGGAGATAAGCAGCCACTGAATTTCAGGTCCCATTATCCCTTCCCACCAAAAGCATCAACGACCTTGGACTAGCCATGCCCAGACTATCAGCTGCTGCTTAGAGCAGTCATTAGGGAAGGTCAGTGAAGGGATCGGGTGCCAGTTCCTGCCTGGGAAAGAGTGGGTTGACTAACGAAACAATCACAAGATGTCACCGCCATCTTAACTCACTCTGTGCTGCCAAAGCTTCACCAGTCAGGATATTCAATCTTCACTGAGGAAAATCCTACCCTTTCCCAAATGCTGACAGCTCAACGATTTCGGATCCTTTAGCCTGTGCCTAGAACATAGGAAAAGAGCGCAGGAAAGGGTTGCACCCAGAGTGACCTTTCTCCTCTGGTCTCCCAAAGTACAGTTTGTGGCTCTCCTATAAAAGTGCTTCACGCTGTGCCCCACATTTGTTATTTGCATACACGTTGTCCTCTCTTCTAGATCATGAGCTCCTGTAGGAAAGAAATACCATTTTATACTTTCCTGTATCCCACTCAGCTCAGGGCCTTGCTCAAGCTGCTTGAGTGGAATGGGGAAATGTATCCAAGTCTTCAGTGATTTGGAAATATAGCCTGTTCTGATGTCAGAGACTGTCTGTAACTGGCATATGTATATGTCTTGACTAGAGGGACTGTTTTTCAAGTTGACCTGTATGGACTCGTTACAGACAGCTCAGGCATCAATTTGGCTTTTCCTAAGTTTTGTATATCAAGAAGGCCATCTCCATATTCATCTTAATAAATTCCATTATTGAAAAAATATGAAAAATATATATGAAAATGTGTCCTTTTATTTTATTTTTTTTAAGATTTTATTTATTTATTTGACAGAGAGAGACAGAGCGAGAGAGGGAACACAAGCAGGGGGAGTGGGAGAGGGAGAAGCGGGCTTCCCGTCGAGCAGGGAGCCCATTGCGGGGCTCGATCCCAGGACCCTGGGATCATGACCTGAGCCGAAGGCAGACACTTAACAACTGAGCCACCCAGGCACCCCAAAAATGTGTCCTTTTAATCTCTACAGGCAGGCTTGACAATAACACCCAACTTGGAGATCCCTTAGAAATAATATTGTAGTAGTAACCTCTCCTAAAACTTTTCCCTATTTTCCCTTTCTTTCAACATATGAAACCATGTATGAAACCTTAAATCTGCTCATTGGATAAATTTATCTTTAAGAGGATGTTATCTATACTATCAAAAGTTAAAATGCACATATCTTTGATCAACAGGATCACCTGTAAGAATTTATATTTCAGGGGCACCTGGGTGGCTCAGTCAGTTAAGTGGTGGACTCTTGGTTTCGGCTCAGTCATGATCTCAGGGTTATGGGATCGAGCCCACGATAGGCTCCATGCTCAGCACAGAGTCTGCTTGCCCCTCCCCCTCTGCTCTTCCCCCTCCTTGTTCTCTCTCTCAAATAAATAAACAAAATCTTTAAAAATAATAAATAAAATAGGGGTGCCTGGGTGGTGCAGTTGGTTAAGCACCCGACTCTTGGTTTCAGCTCACATCACGATCTCATGGTTGTGCAATCAAGCCCAGTGTCTAGCTCCTCACTCAGCACAGGGTCCACTTGAGATTCTCTCTCTCCCTCTGCCTCTCCCACTCATGCTCTCTGTCTCTGAAATTAATAAATAAATCTTTAAAATAAATTTTTTAAAATTTATATTATAGATCTACAAGCACATGTGTACAATCATATATACAAGTTACTAATTGTAGCATTACTTTAATAGAAAAAATTAAAAATCAACCATCAATAGGGAGTGACTAAATAATGGTACACCTGTACATGGAATACTATATACTGAAAGAATAGAAATAAAAGGAGGGGGCGCTTGAGTGACTCAGTCACTTAAGCGTCTGAATTTTGGTTTGGGCTCAGGTCATGATCTCAGGGTGGTGAGATCCAGCCCAATGTCGGGCTCAGCACTGAGCATGAAGCCTGCTTAGGAGTCTCTCTTCCTCTCTCTGTCTCAACCCCCACCCACCCCGCTCACACTTTCTCTCTCCAAAAAAAATTTAAAAAGAAAGAAAGAGAGAGAGAGATACTCTTAGAAAGGAAAAAGAGAAAATAAGGAAAATCAGATCAAATACTTGACAAGAAAGAACAAATAATGAAATAATGTAAAGAAATGATAATCATTGTAAAATATACATGCATTAAAACTTATCTATTAAAAGACAGTAATTCCAAGACTCAGTTTTAAAAGAAAATGACAGTTACATGCTGTTTGCAAAAGAGACCTGAAACATAATGACCAAAAAAAAAAAAAAAGGTGAGAGTAACAGGACAGAAAAACAAATACCAGGAAAATACTAACAAAAACCCAAGGTAATAACAGAACCAGATTAAAGAAAAAATCAATTAAGGAAACCAGATTAAAGGGGATGAAATCATTATGAGGGATACAGAGGATCCTTATTTAATGATTAAAAAAAAAAAAACAATTTGCTGGCAAGTTATAAAAACCCCAAACCAGAATACATGGTGCTAACAATACAGTCTCAAAATATAAGCAAATACTGATTTAATTACAGCAGAAATTGTCAAATCCACAATCATTGCAGGAGCATGGATTTAAAGGGAGAAAAAAAGATTCCTCTCTGCTCTTTTAAAGAGAAAACCTAACACATAAAGACACGAAAAGCTGAAAGGAATGAAAAAATATTTACCATATTCTAAAGAAACCTCATGGAGAAATTTCAGTATCAGAAAAGCAGATTTTAAGACAAGTGGCTCAGAAGTTGACAAGCTGATCCAATAACCACTATAATGTTGAAAAAGAAGAATAAGGAAGGACTCATCCTACCAGAATTCTGAATTACTTAAATTACAGTTAGTTAACATCCAGTGTAATACTAGTTTCAGGGGTAGAATTTAGTGATTCATCACTAACTACAACACCCAGTGCTACTTCAACTTAGAAAAGGCTTTATTGAATTTCTTAAGCACATGAAGAAAAAGAAATGGATAATTTCAACCACATTAAAAATAAAGACAGCACAAAGTTAAAGGGTAGGCCAGACCAGAGAAGATATTTACAGTAACAAAGGTTTAACTTTCTGAATATATAAAGAACTCCTGTGAACAGAACCAAAGATCCCCTGTAAAAAACAGGTGGGGGGGGCGGCTATAAACTGGTAACTCACAGAAGAGGAAAACTTCTTGGATAAAAAACAAATGAAAAGACACTCATTGTCACTGTACGTTCAGTATTAAACAAACTGATTAAACGATAGGATCGGGCATATCCAACCAACCTGAATGTCAGATAATGACAAGTGTTTGTGAGGGAGAGGGGAAACAACCACCACTGCTGATAGGGATTAAACTGCTACAACTATTGTGGTAACTAATTAACATTTAGTAACGTTGAAGATGCATGTCCCACTTGTAGGTACATACCCTAGAGATACCGTCAAATGTGTAAACAAAGAAACATACACAAGAACGTTTTCCTTTTGTAATACTAAAAAGTAAAGGGGCACCTGGTGGGCTCAGTGTGTGGAGCATGCGACTCTTTATCTCAGGGTTGTGGGTTTGACCCCATGTTGGGTGCAGAGATTACTTGGAAATAAAATCTTAAAAAAAAACTAAAAAGTCAGGACCATCCTCAATGGCCATCAACAAGAGAAATGAACTAATGGTGGGATTAATCATACAATGGAATAGTACATGTCAACCAGTTCTGCACGTAAACTAGCTCCTCACATATCATGTTAAACGTGAAAACAAAATGCTGAGTAATAAACTTTAAAAGGATATGTATCATGAAGCCAATTATGTTTAGTTTAAAACATAGAGGGTACTGTACATTGCAAAGCATGAAGGGTAAGGATATGCACGAAAAAGATAGTAGTTCTTGGAAGGAAATGACGAGAGGGAGATGTTCAATGGATAGGTAGCTTTTTGTTTATTTAAAAAGAAGAATCTGAGGGCGCCTGGGTGGCTCAGTTGGTTAAGCGACTGCTTTCAGCTCAGGTCATGATCCTGGAGTCCCGGGATCGAGTCCCGCATCAGGCTCCCTGCTCGGCAGGGAGCCTGCTTCTCCCTCTGACCCTCCCCCCTCTCATGTGCTCTCTCTCTCTCATTCTCTCTGTCTCAAATAAATAAATAAAATCTTTAAAAAAAAAAAAAAAAGAAGAATCTGAAATAAATAGGGAAAAGGTTAACAATGGTTAAATTTGGGTAGTGACTATATGTCAACATTCTTGGCTGCAAACAACAGGATCTGCTCTAGCCAGTTTAAGCAAAAAACAAATGGCTCACAAATGGGCTCAGGCTTGGAAATCTGGTTACACAACTCCGAAAATTGCCATTACACCAGAGCAGCTGCAAGGGGAAGGACTGCTGGGCATAGCCCACTGCACCATGGCTGCCTGGAAAGCCACGAGTCCCTGCTCCCCGAACAAAATGGATCCCATGTGCCACGCTGTCTTCATGGTGTCACTTCCAAATTTCATACAAGTATGTCTAACTGGTGACCTAGGATGCCTGTCTGAGCCCCCAGCTACAAGGAAATTTTGGAAATTATGTTTTAGTCTTCCCCTTGGTGAGATAAGATCCATAGAGTGGGATGTCACCAGAGTGGATGTTCAAGCAGTACTAGGTACCTAAAAAAGCAGGACAAATGTCCACTCAAACAGGGGTTATGTTTCTATTTTTCCATATGCTCAAAATAGGTCATATTTATTTTTAAAAAATCAAAGTATAAATCCACCAAGAGGATGGGAGAGGAAAGCAGCAGCAGAAATTTCCAGGAATTTCCAAAAGATGGGACTAACAGGACAGTAGAGGGTGTCACCACTTAGATGTATGTGGAGGGAGCCCATCAGAAGAGAGAGCTGACCTGCCCAGATGGGTCTGGAGAAGCTCAGAGGTGGTAGAAGACAGAAGACAGGAGAGGGGCTAAAAAGAAAGGGATTAAAGGTCTATGAGAGACGATGGACTCTGAAAAACAAACTGAGGGTTCTAGAGGGGAGGGGGGTGGGAGGATGGGTTAGCCTGGTGGTGGGTATTGAGGAGGGCACATTCTGCATGGAGCACTGGGTGTTATGCACAAACAATGAATCATGGAACACTTCATCTAAAACTAATGATGTAATGTATGGGGATTAACATAAGAATAAAAAAAATTAAAAAAAAAAAAAAAGGTCTATATGCAAACCAGTTGACCTTGATCCCACATCCCCTATCTCCAAATACAGAAGGGCATGAATCCAGGTATTTCCCCCCAGGTAAACTAATGGAAGGATCTCATGAAATAAGTGGGAGCACTGTCTGGGA